GAGGAAACCGGCAAGAAACTCACCCGTAAGGCGAGCTTTGATGGCCACAAAGAGGTCGTTGATGGCGAGTCCAGAAACCTCGGTATGAAAATCACCCACTCTCCGGGTGATCTGGCGTCCGGTTTTATTCTCGGACTCAAGTTGTTCCCAAAGCCGATATTGGCCCCTGTCCAGAAGCTGGTGCACCTGCTGCCTGTCTGCAGGATCAATGGTGCCAGAAGCAAAGAAGCACAAAAGCAGTCCCAAAGCAGACGACAATGGCAGCACAGCTGAAACTAAACTTTTGGTGTTTGATGCGGGTGCACCAGCTGTAACCCAAAATGGCGACGGTGGAGCACAAACATGAAGATCCNNTTTGTGGTTATCAGCTTGGTGCTAGAAGAATTGTCATTACTGACGCAAGCGTAATCCACGACAATAGTTGAATCTTCTCTGGCAGCATTACTAGGTGTTCCTCTCCAAAGCGGCTTCCCTCTTGCGAAGCAGTACCAGAATCACTTGGCAGCAGTAGACTGTGGCATTAAATTCTACCCCGTTGTTTTGTAGAGCTTGCAAAGTTAGCATGATTCCTTCGGCTGATTTTGACCCTGCCCGCAGCGATGCCCGCTTTGGACACTGGACGAGCTCCACGTATGTGAACCAGTACAGGCCTCGTTGAGAAGATGGAAGAGTGCATCTCTTGCCTCAGGCGGTCAAAGGCAGCCTGCGCATTCCTCTGAGCATGGTGTCCCTGACAGAGCCCCCGAGCGCGGAACCTTGCTCAGTTTATGGAAGTTCTCCTCCCAATTGTCTGATCAGCAACTCTGGAGAGCTCATCAGCTCATAATGTCAGCGGCTCCTTGGTAAGATCACAACAGTCTGGCGAGAAGGCATCCACCTGAGCGCGAGAAGCATGAGAAGGCGCACTTGACTACACACAGGCAGCGCTTGGCCTTCACGCGTTCCGCAGATTCTTGATCGAATCTTGTTTGGCTCTGAGAGGGCAGAGGGCTGGCAGCTGAGGCTCCGGACCACAAAGATAACACAGTGGATGTGCAAGTACCTGACAAATGGGCTCAGAAAGTGGAGCCGGTTTAGGCAACCTCGATGGCAGGTAGAAGCAAGTGATGCGGGTGTCTGTTCCCCTCCTCATTCTGCGTCTCAAAGGAGACTCCACAGCTTGCACGGTGTCTGTTCAAAACGATACTGCGCCCTGCCTGTAGAACATCGGCCACAGGGGCCGCATAACGTCATCACCAGGCACTTCCCAGACGCCGTACTGCCTTGGCGATAATTGGCGCATGCATCGCATGCTACATGCCGCCCTAGTACCTCTTCTCTCTTGATAAGCAGACAACTCACATCTCAAGCATGGGCTACACTGCGGCTACACGGCTACACGGCTACACACTGCGACCTGGCCGCCCAATAGATGGACTGCTGAACTCCTCAAAATGGTACCTTCGCATCGCTGAGAGAACCCCTAAATTCCAATCAGTGGGGTTGCTTCAAACATGCCCGGACTCACCCGGGATCCTTCTTGTCCTTCTTTAGGAACCTCATGTCCTGCTTAACGTCATCTTTCTTGTACCTGAGGCATGCTTTCTGAACAGCTGGAAGCTTGTCGAAACCTGTCAACATCTGGGCGCGTAGCCCATTGATCCTCAACTTGTACAGGAATGTGGTCTTGCCAGCACCCTCGAGGCCGAGCATCAGAAACTGGTACGTCTGCACCGCAGGGCGAAAGGGCGAAAGTATGCCGTCTGACACTCACCACGACTACGACGATGACGACGACTACCACTACTAGCCTACTAGCTGGACTGGTAGAAGCCAGTGACAAGTCATCCCTGGCAAAACTGCCCGAACTCTGAAACGATGCAAGCCCGGCCTGCTGTCCAGCTAGAAGGCTGAACCTTGAAGCATTGGAATCTTTCTTGCTTGCATCACACCACGGACGATTACCTGATTACCTTTCCCCACTGGCATGCGACGCTGTCTGGCTGGAACTGACTGTTGTAGCATCATCCGGAAGTCTTACTAAGGCTGCATTGTTACGTCCGTGTCATCTGACACTGGCCCATGTGCTTCTAGCGAAAGGAAATGCTCCTTGCAGTAATTGATCGCTTACCATCCCCCTGGCCTGTCCGTGACGGCTGAGACACATTGTAGCATCGCGCAGGGCCGCACTCAACCAAGAGCGTGTGGGAGTCTTATGATTACTTCTTGCCTGGATCAATAGCCTGGTCAAACTGAACGTGAAATTGGCAAGGCACTCAACTAGGTTAGCAGCAATGGAAATGCAGCACTTGGAATTGACCTCCTTTGATCTCGGGCACTATGCTCCTACATGGCCACACTCTCAGCGTCACAAGATCGTTGATTCAATGCGGAATGCACATGATGCAGCTGGCCACCTGACACTGGAGAACCAGAGATGGTTGTCAGCGCTATCAAACGTCAGGGCTGGTAAGAGCAACCAACATTGCCGGCAGTGGAGGTCCCAGCACGCACGCTCCTAATGCGATGGCTAGGAAAGCTTTCTGGTACTCGCAGCTTGCTCTCGCACCCATTACAGCATGCAAGCTGAAGATGGGTCAGAAAGCCTCACAGGCTTCCAGCAAAGAAGTCGGGGTCAGTAGGCAACTTCCTCCTCGGCATCTCATGGTATTAAGGTCATCAGCCTGTTGTGAAACCTCTCGAGTCAGCCTGGGGCCAGTGCCTATGTAGGCCTGTAGTCCAGGGATGGCTGCTGTTGCCTCTAACAATGTCTCGAAGATCGCACCAATCATGTCTTAGAGCAGTTGACAAGCGCAAGCATGTCCCAAAAGGCCTCGTGCGCCGCGCGGATCTCGGGCAGCGTGATGCCGCCCACGACGAAAATTGCCACCTCAATGAGTAAGCCGAAACCTGCAAGCAGCACTACATACTATAGTCAGAACGAAGTCTAAAATCCCAGTAGCCTGCCATCAACGGTTTGGCACACGGCCCGTCAATGAATATGATCTTTGAGTGCTGCACAGAACTCCCATGAACACGCCCAGCCATTGAGCTTTCACCCCTGGCAAACGATAGTTGAACTCGGGGAAAGATGGGAAAACGCATCGTGCAAACCGAGCAGCTCGCCTGAGGCAGCGCACGTGCGCTGACTGTGTCGGCCCAGCCTTCACAGGTCAGAAGCACCCAGAAGCTGTGTTGCCGGGATGGTCATGAAGACCTACTACTGCCGTATACTGACTACCGTCTACTGCTGGAACACGTCGTTGGGTTGCACCACCCAGCTGCATACAACACAGAAATGCATGCGGAAAAACGTGCATTTTGAAGGACACACCGGCTTTCTGCTTGGCCACCGAGTGAAGTTTACTCGCCTGTGTAATCCTCGAAGCAAACACACTGCGCAATTGGATCATACTAGTAACTGGAATGTTGACGGGAAATTAAACGGAGGCTCTGCTTAAGGCAGTGGTTCCTCGCCTGCCAAAGGAGGCTTGTTTTTGGGTGTGATTTTGGGGTGATGGCTGCGTCTTCAGTTGAGGTGATAGTCGCGCAAAACCGCCACAATACCTGCCGTTTGTGCCCGGAGCTGAAAGTTGTCGCCACGGATTATTAAATGGGCATGTCTCCACCATGCCCACCGTGAAAATAAAGATATAATTCATGCTCTTGATGTTTAAAACCCAAAGATTTAAAGAAAAATTCTTGGGCCAAATTTGGGTGTCAAAGACTACTTTAAGGGCGGATGCAGGCTTTGGGCAAAAAAACTCTAGATTTAAAGAAGATGATTGCCAAACCCGAAGAAAATTAGGCTCCTGGTAAGTTTTAGGCTCTAGAACTTAAACTTGCAACCAAAATCTAGGGCCCTATACCCTCATCAAACCTCAAACCTGTTCTTGGTAGGGACCTACTGGCTCTAGACTTCAGAGAGGGTCCTGCAAACAGGACTTGCTTACTAAACTTTATAGGAATTTCGGAGCCAAACACTGCTTCCTGAGCTACCCCTTACGGGTGCTGCTGCATGGATTAATAGAAAAAACAGCCCACAAAAATAGAAAAAATCCTGACCATTTCCCAGTAGTAGCCAAGCCTGCTTGAATGGGCTGCAATATGTATGGTATCGAAAAATTTGAATAGCGGAGAGGGTCCCGCAAACAAGAGTTGCCTACTAAACTTTGTCCGGAATTTCAGGGCCAAACATTGCTTCCTGAGCTACCCCTTAGGGGTGCTGCTGCATGGATTAATGGAAAAGACCCCACAATAACAGAAAAAATCTTGACCATTTCATCAGGCTTCAATGATGGTAACTAGATTTATTTTGATTTTAATTGGAGTCCAATTAGATTTGAATGGATTCTAGTCAGATTTATACTTATTTTAAATTGCGTCCAATCAGATTTCATTAGATTTGAATTATATTTATTGATCTTCACTGGAGTCCAATCAGATTTCAATGGATGTTAATTAGATTTATCTTGATTTCTATTGGAGCACAATAAGATTTCAATTGATTTTAACTAGATCTTTATGGATTTTAACTGGAGTTCAATAAGATTTTAATGGTTTCAGTTAGATTTATATTGATGCTAATTGGAGTTCAATAAGATTTGCGCGGATTACATCGGCGCGGAGCACAAATACATTGCAAAAGAGGAGGTGATTGCTTCCGTGCATTCCCATTCCCATGTTTACATTAGGCTGAGCCCATTTCAACTAAACATCATTTAACTAAAAGTCGATGCGAATCGATGCGACTACCAGCAGCATGGTAGTCCTCCAGGTTTTGGCGCTACGCGACACGGTGCGGCACGAATCGAATTGTCATGCTGTTCACTTTTGTATCAGTTTACGTTTATCTTGCAGTCTCGCACGGACAGGCCCAAGCCACACGGAGCAGCCCTGTAGGTTAGGTCAACTGAGGCATCGTCCAGCTCACTGAACATGGTGGCTATTTTCGGCTGCCAGCGGCAAAGGCGGGCCTTGCCTGAAATCCACATATGCTCACTCAGAAAACATGAAAGGATGAACATTGAACATTGGAAGCTCCGATTCCGATCACCATTTATCTGTCTTCCAGGCGCCAGGCGAGGGCTTGTTGGCTCTGTGCCTGTGGTCTTTTGAAAGGCACCATGCTGGTTGAAGCCTTCTCTTTGTGGTTATATTGTTGGATGTTGTTGGACGTGGATGGTTGGCTCAAGCGGCTTTGGTGGTTGAGCCCTGGCCTGCTGAGTCAGCGTCAAGTCGCCGGCGGGGCCAGCGCCGTCGCTCGGCCTCAGAAGACGCGGCGGGACAAGGGTTCAAGGGTCACTTAGCCAACAAAAACGCGGGTCACTTTGGAATTCGGATCCCGCACAGTTTCGGGTCACTTAGCCAACCAAAACGCGGGTCACTTGGCCAAGTCAGGATTCTGGGGACAGCCTGAAGGGTCTTGGGCCTAGGGTTGAGGGGTTTTGGATTTAGGGTTTAGGGTCTAGGGGGTTTTGGATTTAGGGTTTAAGGTCTAGGGGGTTTTGGATTTAGGGTTTAAGGTTTAGTGGTTTTGGATTTAGGGTTTAGGGGTTTTGGATTTGGGGTTAGGGTTTAGGGGTTTTGGATTTAAGGTTTAGGGTTGAGGAGTTGTGGATTAAGGGTTTTGGTGTTCAGAGGTTTTGGATTTCAGGTTTAGGGATTTTGGACGTCTACCTGCGAAGGGCTGAGTATCCTCGGGTGCCCTAGGAGGCCCTTGGAGCCCTTGGAGGCCCTCGGAAGCCCCAAGCACAAGGTCGCCAGTTTAGGGTTACTTATAACTAGTGAGTCACAGTATTACGAGAAAAGATCCCCTAGGCGGGGCTCCTGCAAGAGGTGCGGCTCACGCTCTATAAAACTTTTAGGATTGCATAGTAGCTCCAAGCAATGGTGTGATTGGCTGCTGGATGTAGTTCTGGGTCCAGGCACCCTGGAAAAGGGTGGGTACGGCCTAAGCAGGCCTGGGTGAGAATTTACGTAAGAGTTTTGGATTTAGGGTTCAAGACCTCGGGGGCTTGGATTTCGGGTTTCGGGTTTGGATTTAGAGTTAGGGGTTTAGGGTTTAGGGCTGTTGGATTTAGGGCTGTGGTTTTGGATTTAAGGTTTAGTGGTTGTGGATTTAGGGTTTAGGCTTTAGAGACTTTGGATTTGGGGTTGAAGGGTTTTGGATTTAGGGCTTAGGAGTTTAGGGGTTTTGGAATTAGGGTTTAGGGGTTTTGGATTTAGGGTTTAGGGGTTTTGGATTTAGGGTTTAGGGGTTTGGGGGTTTAGGGTTTGGGGTTTAGTGGTTTTGGACTTAAGGTTTAGGGGTTGTTGATTTAGGGTTTAGGGTTTAGGGGTTTAGGGTTTAGGGGTTTCGGGTTTAGGGGCTTTGGATTTAAGGTTCAGGGGTTGTAGGGTTTAGGGGTTTTGGATTTAGGGTTTAGGGTGTGGGGTTTTGAGCCTCGCGGATTCCTTGTGGAAAAGGGTGAAAAGGGTGTAGGGTTTGGGATTTTGGAGTTAAGCTTTAGGGTTGGGGGGTTTAGGGTTTAGGGGTGTTGGATTTAGGGTTTAGGGTTTAGAGGCTTTGGATTTGGGGTTGAAGGGTTTTGGATTTAGGGTTTTGGGTTTTGGATTTATTAGAGTTGTATAGGGTTCAGGGTTCGGGCATTGCTCTCACCGCGCTTCCTTTTTCTCATGGGCCATGATAACCGGGAAGCGCGGTGAAAAATAGTCTTTTCTTTTGGTTTGCCAGTTTTCCTTTTGTTTGGAAGCGCGGTGAAGAAGGCGGCTCAGGCGCTACCTCTGCACCGCGCTTCCAAACAAAAGGAGAACTGGAAGCCTGTAATTGGGCCTAGGTTTTGGAGCCAGTTTCGGGTTCTGGGCAATTGTTGGGGTTCTGTGGACCCGTGCTTCTGCTGGACCTTTCTGAACCTTTTCTGGGGTGCCTTTCCTCTTCTGACGTGGTTCCATGCGCTCCAAGAATGCCCTAAAAGGAGAAATCTGTTTTCTGGGGCCCTCGGGCCTTCCAGGGCCTCAGGGGCCTCCCAAGCTGTCAAGGGCTTTCCAGCACCCTCCCAAGCGGTTCAGGGCCTTGCAAGGCCTGCAAAGCCTTTGCTTCGGGTCTTTTCTGGCTTTTGCTGCTTTTCTGAGCCCGCGCCTCTTGGCATTTCTTGGGGTTCTGTGGGCCCGGGCCCCGTGTTTCTTCTGAGCCTTTTCTGAACCTGTTCTGGAGCCAATAGGCTGCCCTTGCTGAGTGCTTATTGCTGCGAAATCTGGTTTGTGGGAACCGTTTGAAGGGCCTTGCAAGGCCTGCAAAGCCTTGTCCAACTGGGCTTCGGGTCTTTTCTGGCTTTCTCTGCTTTTTCTGAGACCCATGCCTCTTCTGGGCATTTGTTGGGGTTCTGTGGGCCCCGTCTTTCTTCTAGGCCTTGTCTAGGAAGTCCTCCTTCTTTGTCCCCAACATAAGCAAACAACAAGCCAACTGTTGGGCCTCCAGGCGCTCCCAGGGGCCTTCCAGGCTAGGGCATGGCAGGGCCTCCCAGGGGGCCTCCCAAAAGAATCTTTGATGTTTTCCAAAAGCTCCCAGCAGCCCTCCCAGGGAGCTTCCCACAAGCCTTTAGCAACCTCTCAATGACTATTTCTGGCTGGTCTTGCAGCTCTCCCAGATCCATTTCTGGACTGGTGTTTGGTCTCAGTTTCCGTTTTGCTTTGTCCAAAAATCGGAAGGCTCTCTGGATGCTTAGCGCTTGCTTTTGGCCGGAACAATGTTTTGGGAAAAGAGCTAAATGATTCATATGGAAATTTGGGCAAGCAGACTTGCACGTCTGCTTGCGAAACATACAACTCTATTTATTTTTGTCTTGAGGGTTTAGGGTTTGGGGTTTAGGGGTTTAGGGTTCAGGGCTTTTGGATGCTTTTGCATTTAGGGCTTAGTGGTTTTGGATTTAAGGTTTAGGGGTGGTTGATTTAGGGTTTAGGGGTTTAGGGGTTTAGGGGTTTTGGATTTAGGGTTTAGGGGTTTAGGGGTTTAGGGTTTAGGGGTTGGGGTTTAGGGGTTTTGGATTTAGGGTTTAGGGGTTTTGGATTTAAGGTTTAGGGTTTAGGGATGCTGGATTAGAGTTTAGGGGTTTAGGGTTTGGGGCTTTTGGATTTAGGGCTTAGTGGTTTAGGGTTTAGGGGTCTTGGATTTGGGGTTTAGGCTTTGTGGGTTTTGGATTGAATCTTTAGGGTTTGGGGCTTTTGGATTTAGGGTGCACGTTATGTGCCCTTGACGCTTAGCCCTTAAACCCTGTGCCTCCAAGTATGAGTCATCTTGCGACACTCCCATTTCATCCGCTGGGATGCTTGGCTTAAGAACTTCAAGACTACATGCATGCTCTCTTCCTCTGTCATGCTATGGCTCTTACCCTTACTATTCAGTTGCTCTTGCTGCAGACAAGCGGGCAAAAAAAGACGTGCCAAGCGATCCCGAAAATGTTGGCTAAGCGACCCCTTTACCTGCACAAGTTCGTTCTTGTGCAGTGCAAGCGATGTCGTCAAGCAACCTAATTCAACAGTATCAGCAAAAATCAGCAGAGCACGTCCTGGCTTCGAGGGCGCCTTGAGACCTTCGACTCCACAAGCCCAGAGAAAATTCGGAGCAAAGTTGAAAACAGTGCTGGTTGATATGGCACGCATTTCACATTATTTCACAAGATTGTGAAGCCATCACATCCCCAAGCTTCGCCTCAATAAACTTCTGCAGCCTGCGCATCTCCTCCACGCTGAGGAAGGGTGCCTGAGATGCATTGGAAATCGGCAACCAATCGCGTCAATGGTTGGTATGATGAGCACGGTTCCACAGCTGCAGACGGGCAGCTGCAAGGTCAGGAAGCCGCGTGCCAGCCCCTGGGCCTGACAAAATGCAACTTCACAAGTTTTTGAGCAAGTTCTCTATTTCCCTCTAGAGAACCCCAACCCCCCCCCCTTACCCCCTCAGGCCTGCGGGTCAGGTTGTGTTTGCAGACCCCTCCCATTCCCAGCCCTTTTCCCACCCCAAGCTACAGCAAAATCTTGACAAGCTGTGGAGCTGATTCGCAGTCATGATGGGACCCCTCGCCGAGGCGGCACTTGCGCTGCTGGCCATATCATGCCAAATCCGCCCAGGCCAGGGACCTGGAGCATTCGCAAAGGACACCTGGTCAGGCATGTGTACTTTTAGCACGATCGCTGGCCGTCCCCCACACCCAACTCACACCCTACGCCTTGCCCCACCCTCACCCCGCACCCGCTCCCAGCCTACTACAGATGATGCCTGAGACAAATCTCCTGTCACCATCTTTCTCGTCCTCTTGCCTCCATCTCGGGCCCGAAAACCTATTCAGCTCCTGTATCAGGATCTCAAGGCACCAACCTGGTCAAGCTCGTTTTGCCTGGTGGTTTTGAATACATGTATAATCACGTAAAGTTGGCGGTAAAAAGTCTGCATCACTTAGGTGCACTCGTCTCCACGCACATCAAGTTGGCACAAACTGAGAGAGCCGACCCATCTCGAGCGCTTTGGTCGCCTATAAATTGTGTTCCGCACTGGAGACTCGTTCTCACTTCACAGCAACAAAAACACCCTGCCTCGCAAAGCATAAGAACTCGAAGCTTCGAGGCGGCATCCAGAGCTGGGTCCTGCATTATGATGACCTCCTGTGCACTGATGGTCTTGCTATGTCCTGCTGGTCCTGTCCTGGAGAAATGAAAGGAGGTCTCTCTCAATGGACCTTGGGTTCAACGGCACCTGAGCCAAAGGCTGCTTCGCATAGCATCAACGAATTCGACTGGCCTACTTGGACTCTAAGTCCTCTAGGTGTTCGACCCCACTTCTGGAGACCCCCGTTGCCATGTCCTCCACATCCGATGAATTGGATCTAAAACATCGTTCCCGAGCTGCAGCAATCTATAGCAATTTGCCGCTTCTGTAACTGCCTGCTCCAACGTGGCGAGATCGATCAGCCTCCTCGGTTTGGATAGGTCTGGTGTGGGCTTCCTTGTGACACCTGAACTTCTTCACTTGCAATTGCCTACCTTTGGCCTATGGCCTGCCAACCTTTGAGTTGGGAGCCAGGCTTTGAAGTGACGATGTTCTGGCCAGGGCCACAGCGACAATTTCACAATCTCGATGCAAAGGAAACAATGCTATGAGTAGGTCACAGTTGAGTTGGATTCTTGACATTGCAGAACAACACGGCACGGGCATGATTTTCCTGATCTGTCACAAGTCTAAAGTCATTGCTTTCAAGTATGCTGTATAGCTCACACATAGCTGACCATGGTGCGCGGCCTTGTGCAGAACTCTCATCGTTGCGTATGGTGAATATAGCTGTGAAGGCACACTACTGTCGATACTTAGAATATGCAGGATTTGTTGTATCCACCGTACCCAAGAGATACAAAAGCTCATGGTTGCATCCGTGCGCTCTTGTGCGATATACTAGCCGTGTGCAACCCTGGACAAGAACAGTGGCTGATGCTCCCTGCCATGACCATGTCTGCCTGCAAGCGAGCACAGATCTCGCTGTGGATCTCCAGCTTGCGGAAGCGATCCTGTAATCAAAGGCTTGGCGCTGCACCACTTCAGCACAAAACTTCAAACATAATCATTGCTCCATCCACATGCGCTTGGCTGAGTAAGTCATGAGTCCTTGTGCTCTGGCAGGGACTGAACAGCGCCTTAGGTCCAGGAGTGCTCTGCGTCACAATTGTGAAGGCCGCGGAATTTGCAAGGACTTCGCTGCATTTGAGGCACTCAAGGTCGATGAGACCATCCTCAGCTGGAACCCTGCCCAAAGCAGGTAGAGAATGCAAACAAACAGGCTGCACAGGATTCCTTGTGTAGGATGCACGTCGGAAATCAGGATTGCAATACAACTCTTGAAGCCACAGGCCGATAGGCACGTATAGATGTTCACCTTCCTACTCTAGCGCGCGTTTTTTTGCGTTTAGCGCCGAACGCGCCCTCAACATGATGCAGTTGTGTTCCGATGTAAGAAAGGGAACAACTTACATCAAACGCCGACAAACCAATTTGATCAAAAAAAGACGCCGAAGCCATGACTACCTCAATCCCTGACAGCGAAGCTGGTCTACAATTCCAGTACCAGTGTCTTCTGCGTTGAAGAGGAGCTTGCGCTCGAAGTGGACGCCGTAGCTCTGGCCATTCTCATGCTGCTTTCCTGGCCGAAATTGTACAGCGGTGATGGACACATTCAGCTGCTTGCTGAGATTGCTCCAGGCATGCCAGCTTAGGACTTGATGGGTTTTGTCTCTGCGCATATGTGCACGCTCCGGTCTGTCCCGACGATCTCAGTTCGCCTGCAAATATGCGTTGAGCAATTTGGGAAAACATCAGCGGGGCAAAGTACTGGCAGATAATGTCCGGCCTCTAGCGTTTCAGGTGCCCAGGGCTCCAACAGCTTTGACAAGGACCTTGACAAACAAGTGTGGCCGTGTGTCACGACTGCTACGCGGTTCCAACTCATGCTGATCTTGCTACTTCTGACCTTTAAGGGCGTGATTGCATCTCAGCGGGCACTCTATGCCAACCTAGGATTTGGTATGATTTGGTCATGCCATGGCGTCGACGCAGTCCAACGCACGGGTGACTATGATGATTTGCATCGTATCACTCATCGCTGATCTCTAACTTGAAGCATAAACGATGAGCATCACACAGCCGAACGCCATGATAGGATCTTCCCACACTGCACTGCACGCCGAGTGGAATAAAAAAGCTCAACTGAAACTAAAAATGTGAAACGCCAAGCTTGTGCAAAGCAACTTTGCCGGCATCTAAGCAGCTTCTGCACTTTTACGCCGCATCTGCCGCTAATGCTTCTGATTCTTGTACCACCACCAACACCACGACTACTACTGCTGCTGCTTCCAGTGCATCACAGCCAGTCGATCAGCTTGGGAACAGCTGCGCGTGAACCACGGTGTGAGTCGCTGCTACAAGTAGTTCAGAAAACAACTCCGACTAATTGTCAAAAAGGCCGTCAGCCTCGGCAGCTTTCAACTAAGTCTTTTCTTGGGGGGTTTGTGTACAACCCTAGCCCATGCCCTACGATTAAGAGTTTGGGGTTGAATACAGCGATAAAGGGAGGCATGATCCATCCAAACTAAGGAGTTGGATACGTGGGATAATCTTACAGTGGATATATTGGGAATAGAAAAGAAGGAGTGATTTATTTGATAATGGGAAGGAGGGTCATCTGAGGCAAGGTACGCTATTCTTTGAGAGGCCTCTGCCATAGTGGACTCTGCCCAATGGAGGCGGGGGCGCCCGACGCGATTGGGGCCCCGAGTGTACCTGTACTGCCCTGAAGGCATAAAAGTGGATTGATATTCCAATGAGGTAGGATGTCTAAAAATATGAGCAAGGAGTGTAAGCCTATTCTGTGAATAAACTTGTGAGGGTAAAACAACAAGTCTCGAGTTATATGCAAGACCTGAAAGATACTGATTGGAGCAATCTGCTGAAGTAGGATTAATGACTCTGTGATAAAAGGAGGATTTAATACCAAAGATCCGACGGATAGATTTGAAATGGATTGTGTGCTTTCCATAGCAGAAAGGAGGATAGATTGGATTGTAGACACCAAGAGGGAGGGAGGGACTTATGTCCTAGGAGAGGTTTGAGAAGCCTAGAAGCGGATACGGCTTGTGATATTCTATAGGAGAGGTTCTTACGGTCATTGGAAAGCGAGTCAAGGAATACACCAAGGTATTTTACTTCGTCAGATAAGGGAACTGTGTAATGCTTGGGTGTGTACCGTTACATTGATTACATTGACAAAGGGATTCCAGAAAAGGAGAAAATGAAATGCGCTCATCAGAATGAAGGCGCATGTGGGCACATTTATCGAAGTTGAAATGTAATCCACTAGTGGAGGCTTCTTTTCGAAGTAGGCGGAGGAGTCTAGAGATTTGTTGTGCCGAGTTTGACAAGAGGGCGGTGTCATCCGCGTACTCAAGATCCCAGAATGGGAAAGGGGTGTTGATAACACCGGAAAGAAGCCCAAATTGGGAAATGTAAGATTCTTCTACATCGTGAAATAAATGGGAAAGAACGAAATTAAAGAGGTACGGAGAGAGCGGACAACCCTGACGGAGGCCACGAGTTTGGCTGGAGATTTCTGATGCGTTACCTGCGTCTCTAACGATCAATGGGACAAAATTGTTTTTAACGAAGGCGAGGGGGACACCCATGTGATGGAGGGCTGATTCAATAGCTGCGAAAGTAACGGAATCGAAAGCCTTAGACCAATCCAGAAATAACACGTGAAAGGAGTTTTGTTGTCGCTCAAAAACTTCCAGAATTCTGCGCATAATGTGAATGGGTTGAGTAGTAGAACGATTGGCACGAAATCCGAATTGAGTGGAGCGGATGCGATCGTCGAAAAAGTGTGAAAGGCGTTTCTGAATAAGTGAGGCGTATACTTTATACATAGTGTTCGTGAGGGAAATGGGGCGATAATTGGAAAGATCTCTTGTATCTTGCTGAATCTTTTTAACGAGCATAACGACATCTGAAAGTGTCCAGGAATCGGGGACACTAGAAGTGGAGAGACAGTGATTAAAATGATCCAGGAGGAATAATTTGAGAATGTATGGGGAGCCTTGTATCAAGTCACAGGAGATTGTATCCGGGCCGGGAGCCCTTCCTGTTCTCAGAGAGCGGGGCACAATGTCAAGTTCAGCCATTGTGAAAGGGGAGTCGCACTG